AGATCGGATGAACACCCCAGTTCCATCATATTCACGATCACAACCGACAAAGTAACGAAGCTTTGGTGCCGAGGTAGAGTATTAAACTCAATGACCGAAGGTCCCGGGTTCGAATCTCGAGGGTTACATCCCTTGAGATTGGGTATGACTGGCTGATGACGGCTAAAAAACCAGAAAAGGCCATTTCGCGTGCCTGCATGGGCTCTAATGTGAACTTCTCGGCGAAAAAGGGAACATAACTGTTCCATTACCAGATCGGCGACGCCCACATATTCAAAAATATATACATATATATAGCTCAATGGTAGAGCGTTGGTTGCGCAAAAACCTGCCCTACTTTGTGGGTTCGACTCCCACCAAGGCCACGAATTGTTCACAATTAAGTCAACGGACATATAAATTTACTAGAGCACTTACTTCTACCTAATTCAGGGCCTTCAGAGTTGACATCTCCATGCCTGACTATCTGCGACCAACCGAAGAGTTACACATACTCTCTTCCCTAAGAACCAAGACAAAATGCTGATGGTCAAGGAACGTCCTCCATGGCTTCGCTGAATTTCCTTCAAAAGGTGCTGAGTTGAGTCCGCTTTTATTACATCCGATGACGTCAAAATGGTGACAATAGCACTTAGCACATAGGACGGGTGCAAAGAAACTGATCCAGTCACCGCAGTCACCAGTTTGTTTTTTTGCCAAAAAGAGTGCGAACTGTTTCACTTGAGACCAAGTCGTGCGTACCTCATTCGAGGGAACGTTACCAGGTAACGGTGTTTTAAAATCGCCATGCGCACTGCCGAGAATTTATAACTAAACAAAAGAGTTGCTTTGAGGAATACCCCATCACGTGGATCTTGGTGCTGACGTAATTTTCGCACCAGGTTCATGCATCCATAAGGGAACTTGCCACAACAAACTTCGTCAGACTGTAACTCAGAGGACAATGCATGAGAATTGGTGAACGCCGCCCGTTGCAGTGGGTGGGCTGGGTGAATTGATCCAAGATTTGATAAAACTCACGGCTTCCGACGAGTCCGCGTAGCCCAGTTGGTTAGAGCATTGGCCCTGCCCGTATTAGCTACTGTATTCCTCACAATTGGGTCACATGAATCATTCAAAGCTTCCAAAATGTCATGTAGTGTCGTTTATGCTGCGCCCAGTCCTTCCCACGTGACTGATTCTGTTGCTCAGGAAACTTCCTATTGTCCTGACGTTTCGGATTCCCTCGGGAATCCTCAATCATAGGTGATGATAACACATTCATGGTCATGCGCTTTTCCTGGCATTTCCTGAGCAGCAGAATCAGTCATGTGGGAAGGACTGGGCGCAGCATCAACTCTGACGA